ATATTTTCATATTTTCAGATTATCTTTTTCCTTATCTGTTTTCATAAATCGTCAATAATCTGCGAAGATGGTAGCTGTTTATTGGTGTCTTGAAGAAAATGCACGGCTTCCTATCACAAAAGGCGTATGTTTTAAAGTTGTTCCTAAAAATGCTCCAAAGATTTTTTTTATCTGTAAAAAGTATTTACATAAACAATAAACAACAAGTAACATATATATTTTTGTGTAGTTGAGTCATTTATCCCTATTATCAGCTGCCCCTTGCGACACAATTAAAAATAAGCAAGTATAGTGGGTTCATAATGCAGGTTTGTTTGAATTCTTTAATTCTCAGTCAGCAGGGCGCGCCACTTTAGCGACACACTTTCTACAAGAGCAAGAGTCGTTTCTATATAAGCCTTGTTCTATGATATAATAGTGTGGAGTCTGTGGGCCGTTTGTGTGTATGTAATAGTGTGTAGTCTGCGGACCGCGCGTCCTTAGGATGCGTTTTCCGAACTGCTCTCGCTAGAAATCGATCATCTTTTTTACCTTTCATCCATTTTCGCTGCCGAGTTTTATCAACGTTTCGCTAATTCTGGCATTATTTTACCTTTTAAGTGTACAGTTCAAAACACAATGAACGGTTTGCCTAGCAGGTTTGCCTAGCAGCTTTGCTTAGAGCTATCGACATTTGGTCTAAACTACAGCGAAAATCACCAATATTGCTTGGTGGCCAGACGAGCTTAAAGTTACTCAAGTCAGGCAACCCCCAGCGAAGTTTGTACGCGTTTTAGTGATGTTTTAATGTCGTTCCTACGATTTCCTTAGGAAGTGCCTTCCTATTTCCTACTAGCTTACCGATCTATATCATTCCGGGTTTCACATACATCTCCCACCAAATTTTCATTCACATCTTCCTGCTCGGGATTGTATCTGCTGGGGCAATTATCGCACACATCTCCAAGCCCGTCCCCATCCGAATCCAGCTGATTCCTGTTGGCGTGTCTTGGACAGTTATCTCGTTCATTTAAAATGCCTGCAATATGATTCGTTGATGAGGAAACTTCTGGAATTTTGCAGAATGAGGCGGCATACCATCATTATCCATGTCGGGATCGCAAGCGTCTCCAATATCGTCGTTATCAATGTCCGATTGGTCTGGATTGTAAACGTTTACGCAATTGTCGCAAACATCTCCGATTTTGTCTGGATTTCTTTCGGAGTCCCTTTGGTCAGCATTGGGGCGGAAAGGACAGTTATCCTAGAGAATGGAAGATTAATGAGATTTAAAAACACCTTGCAGCCGAAGGAAAAGTGCTCACATCCGATATAACATTATCACCATCTGGATCTGGATCGCAGGCATTTCCAAGTCCGTCTCCGTCGGCGTCTTCCTGTCCGGAATTAGGCAGGTCAAGGCAGTTATCCTGAAAGAATTAGGTTCACTTAAGAGGTTCGGGTTTTATCGGCAAGTAGATACAAACTTTTCTGCAGTGCTCTTCTCCACATGGCAACTGATCATCAGGCCAGCTGTCCAAGTCCGAGTCTCGCCCACAGATTTCCCCATTTCCAGCCCATCCAACTATGCACACGCAGATGTATTCTCCGGAAACTGAAAATTTCATTTTGCTCTGAACCGGCATTGTAAAGTAAAGAGATTGGGAGTTGTCTTATCTATATCCTTTAGACTTTTTCTTACTTTAATTTAGGTACGACTATTTACAATCTGTTGAACAATAAGTAAATTTGATAATAATGAAAATAAAAATGGCATAATAGAGACATGAACCAGATTTAGCATTATATTTAACATAATATTATAGACTGATTTGTTATGCAATTAATTAAGTAGTGTAATTTTGCAAATTCCGATTTTTGATGTCTTAAATGTTACATCTATTTCAGATCACTCACGCGAGGAATGGATGCATTCATGGAATGGACTCATTGAAAAACATGGCAGAAATTTTAGATCCGAAATAATGAACATTTTCGGCACATTTTAAGTGTTTTTTTAAGGTTCAGGATCTTTAACCGACGATTTCTTCTTTATTTTTGACCCAAAAATTTTATAAATGCATATTTGTGACTTTCTTGTGTCGAAACGAGTCGATTGAGCTCAAAAAACCCGCATGTAAAATTTTTATTTTTGGTTGAAAACTTTCTCAAAATGTCATAAATTTTACATCATTTTCTGCTCACTGACGCGAAGAATGCATCCAACTCATTGAAAAACATGGCAGACATTTTAGATCCGAAATAATAGACATTTTCGGCACATTTTAAGCGTTTTTTCAAGGTTCACGATCTTTAACCGAAGATTTCTTCCTTATTATTGACCCAAACACTTTACAAATGCATATTTATGACCTTCTAACGTCGAAAGGAATCGATTGAGCTCAAAAAACCCGCTTGTAAAATTTTGATTTTTGGTCGAAATTTTTCCAAGGGTGGGCGTCGAATTTTTGAAAAATTAAAATTTTCTCAAAATGTCTTAAATTTTACATCATTTTCAACTCACTGACGCGAGGAATGCATCCAACTCATTGAAAAACATGGCAGAAATTTTAGGTCCGAAATAATAGACATTTTCGGCACATTTTGAAAGTTTTTTCAAGGTTTACGATCTTTAACTGACGATTTTTTTCTTATTATTGACTCAAACACTTTATAAATGCATATTTGGGACCTTACGTTGAAAGGAATCAATTGAGCTCAAAAAACCGGCTTGTAATATTTTGTTTTTTGGTTGACATTTTTCCAAGGGTGCGGGTCCAATTTAAAAAAAAATAAAATAGTTTTCAAAATGTCTTAAATTTTACATCATTTTAAGCTCAAGGACGCCAGGAATGCATCGAACTCATTGGAAAAGATGATAGAAGTTTCAGATCCAAAATAATTATTTCTTTAAAAAGTATTTTGTGTATTTCAAAGTATTTTGTGCGGGAAATCGTCTTTTCGACCTTAACCGATTGCAATTTTCCGAGATGCAGTTTTTATAGAAAATCGTTCGTTTGTCCACAAATTTCAAATTTTCAAATCGGCCCGATATTAACAGTTACGTAGAAAATTTCCACATGCAAAAGGCTGTTTTTACAATAGAAAATCGCCCTTAAATCCACAACGAAAACATTGATAACATTTGTCTTGAAAAATCGCATTTTCGACCTTCAAACTCTTATGACGTTCAGGATTTTCAACTGATTTCAAGTTTCCAAAATACGATTTTTAAACCAAACCGCTCGTTTTAGAACGAATTTTCAATGATCCAAATCGAGCCAGTATTAAGAGAGTTACTAATTTATTCATACTGAAGGATCTGATGCGCCATATAATTATAATAACCGCAAAATATTCACAATATGCGTGTCATTCGCGTTAGTGTTTGCCATCATACAAAGTATTTATTTTCTTCAATTATCTGAATTTGAAAGTATTATTTATTAGTGAGATTGCTTTCACTGACTAGTTTTCGAGCAGAAAAAATATTTGTATAAATAAGTATTTATATAAATAAAAAAAACAATAATTTGGTGGCGTTATATTGATGACGTATTCTCCATTTACAGTCATGGCGAACAAAAACTTGATGAATTTTTATCTTATCTGAATAATAAAGAACCAACACTTAAATTCACTATTGAAAAAGAACAAAATCACCAAATTTTCTCGATATACTAATTCAGAAAAATTTAGACAATTTCGAAACCTTGGTCTATAGAAAACCTACTCATACTAACCGATATTTGAATTCCGACTCAAATCACCCGATAATGGTTAAAAAAGGTATCGTAAAAAGTCTATATGATAGAGCAAAAATAATTTGTAATCAATCTAATTTTTCCAAAG